TAATTAATTAATTAATTAATTCATTTCTACTGTTATGGGGCAGACAGGGTGGGATTACACTTCATCAGGACACCACCTCTTAAGGATGGGGCTGTGCAAAAATCAAGAGCCGGCCTGTCTTCTCAAGCTAAATGTGTTGTCTTTGGTGGTTTTATTTCTGTAGATTTTATTGTATTCCTTCAACAGAAGCCGGTCCTGAGGGACTATCTTCTCCTGATGGCCATTTCTACTGTTATGGGGCAGACAGGGTGGGATTACACTTCATCAGGACACCACCTCTTAAGGATGGGGCTGTGCAAAAATCAAGAGCCGGCCTGTCTTCTCAAGCTAAATGTGTTGTCTTTGGTGGTTTTATTTCTGTAGATTTTATTGTATTCCTTCAACAGAAGCCGGTCCTGAGGGACTATCTTCTCCTGATGGCCAACATGCTTGTGGGGAGAGAGGAAAGCAGAATAATTGGTTGCGATAAGGTTTCATAAATCTCATACAAATGGGTTTTTGTTTTTTGCTGGCCGATTCATTTGCTGAATGAAGCCATCAAGGGGAGCCTCTCTTCTCCTCTCCTCTCCTCCCCTCCCACCCACAACGATGCCACAAATAACCTGTGGCTTCAAGCCGTTGCCTTTCTCTGCAATGACTTTATTTTTCATGACGTGTATGAACCCGTTGTTCCTCCAGCTTCATTATAAGACTGGCCTCTGGCCTCCAGGTAATAGAGAATACAATTCTCCATCAAAAGAAAAATCTTGGTTTGATTCATAGAGGCCTTTTTTCAGGATGGGATAGGTGTTCATCGTTAAATTCGATAGACAATATTTTAATACTAGCAGTGCAACTAGAAATTTTAATGTGAAGAAAGGAAGGAGGCCACTTTTCATTCAATGTTCTCTCCCACCACCACCACTCAAAATGCTGGGCTGACATCGCACACCTACGGGGGGCTTAGAAAAGCTAAAGTTAGATATTTATTGCCTGGCACCATAAATGCACCAAGGAAAGGGAGGGATGTGATGGGTCATTTGTGGGAGGAGGCGAACTGCTTTGAACTCTCCTGGTCCGTCACAACTGGATGTGGGGTTAGCGCGTGCCTGGAACAGCAGGCTACGTTGCGAAGTCAGCAGGTGGAACTCTTCAAAAGCCCAGTCTTCCCTGGCAGAAATTGTGAGATCCGTGAATGCTTCTGCAAAGGGCCAGCCCGGATGGAATCCATAGCTGACGTCGGCTAGGACTTCAAGAGCTCCAGTGGAGAGCAAGAAAGACAAGCAGGGTGGTTGGAGAGTTTTTGGCTCAGAGCAGTGGCAGGTTCAAGATGGACCTCTTTCTGTGATTGCACAATTTAGGTGCCCAGTAAAAGGCTACTTTGCAAAAGGGCAGAACACCAAAACAGGGAAATTTGGCACTCATGGCCCTCCTTTGGTGCCCATCATGGCCGGCTGGACCCCTGTAAGTCTAAGGGCTCAAGGAAAGCCACTACATGGTGGCATCTTAAAAGATGAAATGGGTTCCTTTCGCATTTTCCCTGGCATAAACCTGTCTGGGGATCAGGTGGTCTTGGCACAAAATATGGCTTTAATCTCTAATGGGCTTCTGGATCTTGGATGGTGTTTCTTCCTCCAGGTGGGAGTCGGGGAAGGATTCATTGGGACAGAGAAAGGGAAAGGCAAAAACCCTCTCACCTCACTAGGCAAAGATGATTTGGAATGGCACACTGACCCAACCCTTCAGATTGAGAAAAGCTCTTGCACAAGTATCATTGGGAGGCACCCTCACAACTCTGCATGGCACATTTGTTGTTGAAAAGAAGACCAGGCCTTTGCCGAGACCCCCTGGCTCTAGAGGTGACCAAAGCATCCCGAACGGAGGACCGGCAAGAGAGCCGTACAAGGTCTACTCCCTCAGAGCCCCCTGTTTTTCTCCCTCTGCCTTCTGTTGACGCCATCAGCCCTCCTAAATCTCCTGCCAGCCTTGATCTCACCCAAGCATCGCCCCTGTGCTTTTACCAGAATGTACTCACAAAGCGGCCGACTTAATCAAAAGTACATCGTTTCGAGTACAGCGTAACCTTTCCATGGAGATTCTGGAGTGACAGCCTCCAGTTTATCCATCTCACTGCAGCCAGCGTCCACACTGCAGCAGCACCAGGAGCAGCAGCTGCCAGATTGCATTTCGTGAAGGCTAAAGCATCGAGACGCCCAGCCTATTTAGCTTATTAAAAAGGATTTGGGGGAAAGCAAAGCAGAGGGCTGTGGATCATTCAAGGTTCTTGCACACCATCTCCTGCAGGGCCCTGCTAGCCCAGATCCTAAACCTTTCCAGCTCCCAATGTATCATAGCCCATTTTTCTCTCCAAAATACAACTGCATTGGCTTACAGTTCTTGTGTAAAGGTCATGGAAAAATATTAACATGCCCTTTAAGCAGCACCAATGAAGAACAAATGTTTAGCACCTGTCCAGCGCAGACCCCCCTTCTGAGGTCCCCTGTCCAAACTCCTTCCAAATTATGGAAGGATGATTAGAGCAGGAGCTTGTGGGGTTGTCCTAATAAGAGAGGCAAACATCTTCCAGACAGGTTTAGCTACATCTCTAAGGAAGGCACACCCAGAGACAAAGGATTGGCCTTTTGAGCCTGCCTCTTAAGCAGGTTTTGGACACCACAGGGTGTTGTGCATAAATACATATTGTGTTGGTCTCAAAGCTTTTCACTGTGTTTCATCAAATGGTGGGACAAGCTTCCTGAAGGCACTGGAATTGAGAGGTAGAATATCCCATTCGAGAATATTTGTTTCCATAGGGAGATAGCATGGAAACTTGTCAATATCCATAACCACTGCATAAATCATTTCATGAAGACAGGAGAAATACTTTCCTAGGCTCCAGTGAAGACAGAACAGAAATCATTCAATGCATAGTGGCTTCTGATTTTAATTCTTTATATAAATCTGTTAGGCTCCATACAAGATATTCATTTTATTTATTTATTTATTAAATTTATACCCCGCCCCTCTAGACCATGTCTACTCGATGTTGGAATCTTGACATTCACACCTTTAAGAGGTGTGGAAGCCAAATATGACATTCTCTAAAGTGCATTTCCATGGAGGCCATTTCAATTCATGGCATTCTGCCCCCATCCCCAACTCTTCTTGTGGCTGTCATTTACTGGGTCACGGCAACTTGCCTTTTTTTTTCTTGTTCAACAAAGCAAGTGACATAGCGCTACAGCAATGCATCTACCCAGCACAGTACACATAATACCACCAATGTCTCTCATTTCCCTGCATCGATAGGAAAATATATTTTAAAAAATTATCATGGTAGAGTATATGAAACTAGAGGAGGGGTTTCTCCATCAATCCTTTCAATGCCACAACCCACCAAATACATCACAGGACTGTCACCTAAGGTAACACAGAGAGAGAGACAGAGTGAGGTCAATTTTGGTGTGAAATAACCATTCACATGGACTACCAAAGAGGATACTTACAAACACTGAATCATGCAAACAAAAAACTGGACCCCTGGTGCTGTGCCAAAA